GGGAGGGTGGAGAGAGGAGGGGAGGAGAGGGAAGGAGAGAGAAAGGAGTGAAAGAAGGGAAGAGAGGGGAAGAGGGGAGGAGAAGGGGAAGGAAAAGGGGAGGGGTGGAGAGAGGAGGGGAGGAGAGGAGGTCAGGGAGAGGAGAAGGGAGGGAAGGAGAGAAACCCAAAATGTTTGCAACACCTCTTACTCCAACACAAGGAAGTAAGGCTACTCCAAATGCCACACAGCACAGCAAACTCCCTTTGGGGAAAAAAATGAGTGAAGCTGAAATATCTACATCCGTATTTCAGTACAAGAAGAACCAAGACAAGGAGGTGATGAAAAAGATGGCCATCTGTCATGGGTGTGAGAGAAAGGTTTGCCCCAGCATTTGCTCAAAGTAGGGATGTGGATGCCAGCATCCCAACATTAAATTTGGCTTCCATATCCATCTTTTAAGCCAGGTCTTCTCTGTTGCCCTTTTGTGCCCTCGCTTTGCTCTAACCCAGGAAAAGACGCTGGCAGAATTAATTCCTAAGAAAATTCAGTTTCTTAACTTCCCTTGCTGCATTACAGGAATACAGGTAGTCTTCGACTTGTGACAATTGAGCCGAACATTTCTGTTACTAAGCAAGACAGTTAGGTGAGTTAATTTCCCATGATGGCGCAGTGGTTAGAATGCAGTATATTGCAAGGAAACTGCCCACTGCCAAGAGTTTGATCCTGACCGGCTCAAGGTTTCCGCCCTTCCGACAGCTGTGTGAAAAAGTCCTGCATGCTTTACGGTTTATGACATTTTTTGGATAGGCCATTGATTTTATGATATTTTATGCCAACTGCTATGTAAATATTGTCATATTTAAATAAATACTGGTGGTTTTTAAGTGAAAAGCATAAGCTTTTTGCAATTTGGTGCTGTTTGGATGAGGATTGTGAATTTTCTTGCATGCTTACAATGCCTATGAAAACAGATTAACTGATGCAGACCCAGTGGCATATGTGTTGCATTTACTAAGGCCAATGCAAGTGTTTTGTTAACATTTTTATTGTTTGTGGCCCTGAAAAAGACCATTTAGGTAACCAAATATGGTTACTAATATGAAATTGGCCAGCCTTTATTGCTTATCACCAGGCGGCATTGCTTTGGCATAGACTGTATAAGCCTTTTTTGCATGGATCTTGGGTGACAATGTGGTGCCTTAAAAAGACTTTGGTTATATGAATAAAAATTATGCATCTCAATCTGACTACAGAAATTTTCATCAAAGTACTAATTTTGCGTGGTTTCTATGAGTGAAAAGCTGATTAAACATGTGTAAATACAGTTTAAAACTGAAAAAGCGCAGGACTTTTTCACACAGCTGTTATCTATCTATCTATCCTCCCTCATCTATCTAGGATCTGCCTGTCTGTCTCTCTCTCCATCCATCTATCCATCCATCATCTATCCATCCATCATCTATCTATCTACATCTATCTACATCTATCTATCATCTATCTATCTATCTATCTATCTATCTATCATCTATCTATCTATCTATCTATCTATCTATCTATCTATCTATCTATCTATCTATCTATCTATCTATCCTACCTCATCTATTTAGGATCTGTCTGTCTATCTGTATCTATCAGTCCACCCATCCATCTATCAACATTTCTATCAATCTATTTATCTGGTAGGCCAAAGTGGTATTCTCTCGGTGCATGAAAACAGGAAATTATTTTCCAATGATTCATGACAGAAATGCAACAGCCAGATGGAAAATCAAAAGCTCAGCATGGATTCTTGGCAGCCAAACCAAAAGTCACCTTATCAGCATATAAATTTAACAAATGAGTAAGAAACAAAGGTACAGCCAGGCAGCAAAGAAACAGGTTAAACCAACACTACCAACACTAAAAAAAAAAATTACTTACAGGCAAGCCTTCCCCAGAAATGGCTGTAAAGAGATAAAAAGAAAAGAGAGAGAAAAGGAATAAAATAAAGGGAAAGAAATCAATGAAGGTGCATGAAATGTTAGCAATCAGAAAATGGCAGCCCAGAGGTGGTAAGCAATGGGGTAGAAGCAGATAAATCAAGAGACACATGAAGCAGCTGCTTCAGCACCAACTTCTGTGCATGGAGAAGAAACATCGAAATACAGAAAAACCAGCAACTAAGAGTTTTGGTGTTTTTTTCAAATAAGGGCAGGTAATTGAGATGTTTCAGACTTTTTTTTATAAGAACAGCATTTCTCAACTTCAGCCATTTTAAGAGGGGTGGATTTTAACTCCCAGAATTCCCTAGCCAGGCATGGCTAGCTGGGGGATTCTGGGAGTTGAAGTCCACCCCTCATAAAATGGCCAAGATTCAAAACACTGCAGTTTGAAATGAGGCCCCGCTTGCTCGCTATCAGGCAGAGATAATTGTTCTAACCTTTCCCATTAAAAAATAAATAAAAATAAAGAATAAGGTGAGTCAGGGCAACCTTGTTCCTTTGGCCTTCTAAAACAGCCTTGGGACAGAGATTACAAGCCAACAGACAAAACATTTGCAATAGGATCGTCTCTGGGTTGAGGACTAGCAGCTAAATGCAAAAAAGTTCCTTTTTTAAAAAATAAATCGTTGTATAAAACACAGAGTGTCGTGTTTTTTGATGGAGGAGCCCTTCATTCACTGGTCTGGGTCTCTAAAAGGATCAACCCCCCCCTCCCCAATAAATACAAGCAATTGATTTGAGAAGGGCTCCTCGGTGGTCTCTGAGCTTGGTTGGTTTTCTTGCAGACGTTTCATGACCCAACTAGATAACATCATCAGCACTATGAGGGAGTGCCAGAAGCAAGCCACCCTTCCTATTATCACTGATGATGTTACCTAGCTGGGTCATGAAATGTCCGCAAGAAAACCAACCAAGCTCAGGACCCCTCATTTCAACTCTGAGCTACAAATAATTTCCTCAGTCAGTCATTAATCCGATGCCACTGAAATCCTTTGGGCCTAACCCAAAGGTGCTTTTTCAGGAGGCAACTGGACTTTATTTTTTCTTCTTTTGAAGCCGTTTCGCTTCTCCTCCAAGAAGCTTCTTCAGCTCTGACAGGATAATGGGGAATGCAGTCAGAACTGAAGAAGCTTCTTGGAGGAGAAGCGAAACGGCTTCAAATGAAGAAAAAACCCGGAAAGTCCCATTGCCCCCTGAAAAAGCCCCTTTGGGACAACCATGACCTGGATGACGGAGAATCTCTACAGACAATCAGGGCCTACTAGAGTCTTTTGAGAATGGGTCGTGGGCACCGTAATCAACTTACAAACGTGGACACTGATTAAAAAGGCAACATGCAAACCAAACCAACATTCTTCAATGCATGTTCAACAAAAGCGTTCAAGGAAAAAAAATGCCTCCCTGGGATTATAGGCAGTCCTCGACTTCCAACCATCTGTTTAGTGACTATTCGAAATTACAATGGTGCTGGGGGCAAAAGGGACTTCCAACCGGTTCTTGCACTTACAACGGCAAGTAGCAGCATCCCTGCGGTCATATGACCAAAATTTAAGCGCTTTAATAACTAGCCTGCAATTATGACAGAAGCAGCATCCCGGGGTTGTGTGATCGTTATTTATGACCTTCCTGGCTGACTTCTGAAAAGCTGAGTCAATGTGGTGGGGGAAAGGGAGCCAGATTTGCTTAAGGATGGCATGGTTCATTTAATGACTACCTGATTCATTTAACGACTGCAGCAACTTGCTCAGTGGCAGCAGCAATTTGCTTAACTGAGGCAAAAAGGGTCGCAAAACCAGGCGCGATCCGCCTCGGCCACCGCCTTGCTTAGCAATGGAAATTCTGGTCGCCATTGTTGTGGTTAGCCGGCAGCAAGTGCAGACAGCTGAGGAGAGCGAGGACTCGAGATGAGGGGCCAGGACCATTAGGGAGTGGACTGCTGTCTTCAGAGATTGTGGGGGCTGGCAGCAGCGATGAGGAGGTTCCCGGGGAGCCTGTGCCAAGGGCGCGTGCGCGCAGGATTGCTCGCAGGAAAGAACAGTTACAGCAGCACGGGCGACTCAGGAGTAAGGCTGCAAGATAATGGCCCCTCCTTCAAGAAGATAAAAGCCAGCTGTGAATTGGACGTTCTTTGCAGGAAGCAAAGACGTTTTGAAACTCAGCCTCGTGGACATTGCAGTATCTTAAGTTGGAATTCGAAGACTCCTGTGTTGTGAAATATTTCTTATCTGTGATTCTTGGCAGTCTCGTACAGTTTTGGCAAGGTTTGTGCTTATGAAAGTTAATTAGTTTGCAGCAGCCTTTTAACCGGGGATTTGTAAGACTCATTAAAAGGTTTCCTGTTCCCTTTGGTTATTGTTTATCTTATTGGAAAAGGATTTGAGTCAGAACAGCCGTTGAGGTTGTAAGTCGAGGACTCCCCATATTCGTGCGACATGATTTCCATGGCAGCTCAAGGGGGCTTGCCCCATCGAGATGAAGCAAGTCACACATGCACGTCCAGTGGTGCTTTGGACCGTTTCGGCCGAACTGGTAGTAAAAAAAGTCTCCCACATCAGCTGAGAGGAGGGAAAAAAAATCAGTTGAGGAGAAAGAAGAGAAAAGCGCAGGATTGGTTTTCTATCCCACCTGCCCCTGCGCTTTTCTCTTCTTTATCCTCTCAGCTTATTGGCGCTGAAGGCCTCAGCTGGTGTGGGGAAAGCTGCATGCGCGTAGGTTAGTTGCTTGCGCGTTAGATGCGCGCGCAGGTAGGATCCCACTGCTGATGGACGTGCAAGTTCGTTAGGTTCGCTAGCCGAGAACATTTGAACCCTCCAATGATACCAAGAGGAGGCCAGCAAGGAGAATCCTGCGCTGTCCAACTCGTTCAAACAAACAACGAAGCAAGACCGAACACGGCCTGCTAAGATGTCACACGAACGGGACGGGTCAGGCATGCTGGAAGTTACGACACACCATCAACCATCACCACAAAAACACAACAACCACCACCACAACAACGAAAGAAAAAAAGAACCAACTTGTGTGGGAAGTTGGATGGGGCCTTCTGGAGATAGGCAGGTATGGACCGGTAAGGCGGCCGAGGCAGCGGCATGTTCCTCAAACCTGTTCATGCGTGGTTTTTTGACGGGGTCTGGACTGGCCAGAGGGACCACGCTATTGCGCCTCATGAGCGCATGGGCTCCCTTCTTTGCATCCTAGATCGGAGCGAGAGAAAGATAAGAAAAAATAACAATAAAGGGAGAATGTGAAGAAAAACAAAAAGGGAGCAATTTTTAATTAAAAAAAAAAACCCGGGTTATCAGTTCGGCGTCATGCACTCAAAAGCGAAAAAGAGAGAGCAGGGTTTTTTTTTCCCTCAGAGGGTCGGACTAGATGACCTCGGAGGTGCTATCCAAGCCTGATGTTCTACAATTGCAGGAAAACTGGGATTTGAGAAGCCCAAGAAGAACCAGTTTTTCTAGTTTTTGCAGGCCGTCAAAGAGGATGGAAATATTTGGGGAAATGGGGAGCTTAGCAATGAAGTCTGAGGTCATTGTTTGATCCAGAGAGGGGTGTCTCACCCCGCATCCCCCACCCCCCGCAAAAAAGGAGGTGGGGTCAGGCTAAAGAGGTAGGCGGAGCCAGACTGAAATCAACGTTCAATTAAACTTGATTGTCCTTTCCCTACACAATGTGGGACGGAAACCAGCAGCTTTTTCCTAATAAAAGACTTAGCGAAGGAGTCCCCAAAATTTACTTGTGGACTTTAACTCCCAGAATTCGTCAGACAGCATAGCTGGGGTTGAAGTCGACAAGTCTTAAAGTTGCCAAGTTTGGAGACCTCTGACTTAGTGCCTGGCTTCAACAGTGAGATAAGCTGCATTAAAAATAAATTTTGAAAGGTAAACTAAATAGCCGAGGACATTGATAGTTGAGAATTGGCTGCTTTCACTGAGGAGGAAGGTACCTGGACAGCAAAGTAAAGCCACAGAAGTTCAAATATGACCACTGTCTTATCTTTTACCAACACTTTTAAAGCCTTGCATAATATCCAGTTCCTTTTATGCAAAACCCAGTTTAAATCTTGCCTTTCGGCTCAAACATTGGTTAACTGTTGAATACAGATCGTTTTAAAAGTGCACAGCCGGGCTTTAAGCCACAGAAAAAAGCCTTTGATTGAATCCATTCTTATTCCTTATTTACTGGCCACAGTGATGAAAGAATAGAATAGAACTAACAAAGTTGGAAGGGAACTTGGAGATCTTCTAGTCTAACCCCCTGCTTAGGCAGGAAACCATATCATTTCAGACAAATGGTTATCCAATCTTTTCTTAAAACTTTCCAGTGTTGGAGCATTTACAAGTTCTGGAGGCAAGTTGTTCTACTGATTATTTGTTCTGTCAAGAAATTTCTCCTTAGTTCTAGGTTGCTTCTCTCCTTGATTAGTTTCTACCCATTGCTTCTTGTCCTGCCTTTTGGTGCTTTGGAGAATAGCTTGACTCCCTCTTCTTTGTGGCAGTGCCTCAAATATTGGAAGACTGCTATCATGTCACCCCTGGTCCTTCTTTTCATCAGACTAGACATACCCAGTTCCAGCAACCGTTCTTTATATGTTTTAGCCCTTAATCCTCCCTTAATCCTCCTGGTTTCTCTTCTCTGCACTCTTTCTAGAGCAAGGGTCTTCAAACTTGGCAAGTTTAAGACTTGTGAACTTCAACTCCTAGAATTCCTGAGCTAACATGACTGGAGGAGGAATTCTGGGAGTTGAAGTCCACAAGTCTTAAAGCTGTCAAGTTTGAAGAGCCCTGTTCTAGAGTCTCAATATCTTTTTTACATCATGGCAACCCAAAACTGGATGCCATATTCCAAATGTGGCCTAACCAAGGCATGATGAGCAAAAGGGTTATAAATAAGATCCCCACCCCTGCAGCTGGAAGAAAGGGGATCTGTTGTGGTTAGCTGGCAGCAGGTGCAGACGGCTGAAGAGACCGAGGACTCAGATGAGGGGCCAGGACCATTAGGGAATGGATTGCTGCCTTCAGAGATTGTGGGGGCTGGCAGTAGTGAAGAAGAGGTTCCCAATGAGCCTATGCTGAGTGTGTGTGCACGCAGGATTGCTCGCAGGAAAGAGCAGCTGCAGCAGTATGGGCGACTCGGCTGCAAGGTAATGGCCCCTCCTTTAAGAAGATAAAAGCCAGCTATGAAGCAAACATTCTTTGCAGGAAGCAAAGACGTTTTGAAACTCAGCCTCGTGGACCTTACAGTGTCTGAAGTTGGTATTTGAAGACTCTTGTGTTGTGAAATATTTCTTATTTGTGATTCTTGGCAGTCTCGCACAGTTTTGGCGAGGTTAGTGCTTATCAAAGTTAATTAGTTTGCAGCAGCCTTTTAACCAGGGACTCGTAAGATTCATTAAAAGATTTCTGTTTCCTTTGGTTATTATTTGTTTTATTGGAAAAGGGTTTGGGTCAGAACAGGATCTGATGCTGAACTTTTGGGAATAGGTGCCTATGCTATGAGCGCATGAGGTGGGGAGGGGTAGGGAATAGCCCCTTAGAAAGCCAGCGGCACTCACCTCCGGTCTGTCCCGGTGAGTATTCACAGCTTCAACGTTCAGATAGATGGATTCCACGCGGCAACCTTGGAGAGAGAGGGAAGAAAGATGTGGCAGGGTGAGGTGCATTGTAGCACTTCAGCTGCCGCTGTTTGAATCAGATTATGAGATCAAAACAGACTCAAGGACCTGGAGGAGGAGGCGTTAAATGTAGCTCGAATTAAATCAGTTGGTCAATTAATTCTATTTTTTAAAAAATAATTTTTATTAAAGTTTTACAATTAAAAAAAAACACAAATCATGTTTGCATTTTTTGCAATACATTGTGGCATTGTTTTTTTTTCATCTTCCATTATTCATATCTACATTATTCATATTTACATTATATATTAACTATTATTCTTGTTATCTATCCAATTATATAGATTTTTTCCCAGACCGTATAGAATTCTCTTTTTTCTTTCTCTTGCAACTCCATAGTAAGCTTATTCATTTCCGCACAATCCATAATTTTTTTAATTAACATATTATCCGTGGGATTACCCTCTGCTTTTGGGCAATTAATTCTTAAAAGCCACGTTGAACCAGCAGGGGGTTCAAACAGCGCCCAGGAAAAAAAAGCCATTTGTCCTTCGGGAACGCCAGAGAGAAAAAGGCAAGGATATCGAAAGTGTAAGAACAGCAGCATTTTATTTTATGTATTTTTTTAAAATTAGGGAACAGCCCTGAGAGTTTTATATGCACTGCTCTGTGATAACGCTGGTTATTTTGCCAAAAACAAAATGGGGAAAACAAATGGGGAGTGAGGCACAGGTACAATTTTCCTGGGTTAAACCAGGGGTGGGTTGTAGGGGTTCCGCAGGGGATCCCCTAACTGAGATTCTGCACAGTTTGAACAACCCCCAAATCCCACTCCTGGCTGGCCCCGTCCAGGAGTCCCCACGCGGCCCGTTTTGGATGCAGGTAAGTGCAGGGCGCGTGTGGAGGCTTGGGGAGGACGAAAAACGGGCCACCCGGAAGTTCAGGAAGGCCGGAAATGGGCCCGTTTCCAGCTTCCAGAGAGACTCCGGAGCCTGGGGAGCCCGTTTTTACTCTCCCAGAGGCTCGAGGAAAGCCTGCGGAGTCCAGGGAGTGCAAAAAAGCCCCACCCCCGCCGTGGTGCAGGAGGCCGACTAGGCCACGCCCACCCAGCAACGGGGCAGAGAACCCTTTGCTAAAATTTTTTGAAGCCACCCCTGGATTAAACCATCAATGCAAATAAACTAAGCTAGGATTATGGGGTATTGATTGGGGCTTATACAATCAATGCTCAATTGATCCTTTTGCGTTCTGCGGAACAGCTTGAGCCGAACCGCCTCCAATCTTATCTTAACTCCCAAGATAAAAGGGTAAACAAATGGGGCAAGGGAAGGCAGTAAACCCTCCGTTTTCCTGCTAAACAGACATGTTGTCAATGCTTCCTTTGTGGCTTGGGAGACCTTCCAAGTCAACTTTCCTGTACAGACAGTCCTTGATTTGCGACCATCACTGGAGCTTGAGATTTCTGTTCGCTAAGCCAGACGGCCGTTAAGTGAACTTTGTTCCCTTTTTACAATCTTTCTTGGCACAGTTATTAAATGAATCACCGCTGTTGTTTAAGTTAGTAGCGCGGCCATGGAGTAAATCTGACTGTTCATCAGGAGGTCACCCCCCCTCCCCCAAAAGGGGGGGAACATGTGATCCCGGGATACGGCAACCATCATAAATATGAACCAGTTGCCAAGCATTTTTATTGATTTTAACGACAAACAAAAACACAAAAAACATAAAACATAACATAAAAAACATCATCATTCTTCATATATTTACAGACAGTGTATCGGTTGGTTTACCACTCCTTTTTGTGCATCCATTTCATAGTCATCATAATAATTATGTTACATAATAACTCATATTATCGATCAACAATTATATATCCTAATATCATTATTAAACAATCATTTGACTATAATTTTACTAATTCATACTTAAGGGAGATAACTGTAATTTAGTTACTTTATTTTATAACAAATCATAAAATCATACCAAGTCTATCTTAATAAAATATTCTAAAAGTGTTATCAAGACCAAGAAAAAATGTATATTCGTTATTTCCTAAATTTCTAACTATTCTATTATTATATTGTATTGTCTAACCATTGATAAAAAAGATCCCAAACTTCATAAAATTGTTTATCTTCTTGTTCTCTAATTTCAAATGTCAATCTACTCATTTCAGCACATTCCAATATTTTCTTAATAATTTCTTCCTCTAATGGTATTTTCTCACTCTTCCAATTTTTAGCCAATACAATCCTAGCCGCTGTTAATACATTTACAATCAAATCCTTTAGGTTTTTATTATATGTATCAGGTAAGATTCCCAATAAAAAAAATCTCTGGCTTCAAATCTATATGTTTCTTTGTCATTTTTTCCAACCATATGCGAATTCTAGTCCAGTATTTCCTGGCCTCCTCACAAGTCCACCACATATGGTAATATGAACCAGGAATCTGATGACATTTCCAGCACTTTTCAGATTTGTTCTTGAACATTCTTGTTATTCTTGTCGGGGGGAAATGCCACCTGTAAAACATCTTATACAAGTTTTCTTTATATGCTGTTGACATTGTCATTTTATAATTTTGAGACCACAACTTTTGCCATTTCTCTAAGTCAATCCCATATCCAAAATTCTTCCCCCAAGCAATCATCGTTTCTTTAACTTGTTCATCCTCCAATTTAATTTCCAACAAATAATTATATAATTTTTTAATCACTTTTTCATCAGTACCTGTCAAAATCCTATCTAAATCAGTCATTTTGTCATAAAATCCTTCCATTTTGGAATCTTTAAGATACCTTGAATGTATTTGCGCATATGAAAACCAATTCATCTTTATACCTTGTTCTTCTAAATTTTGCATCGTTTTAAGTTCACCCTTTTCATCTAGTAATTCCCCGTATCTAACTGTTTGTTCCTTCTTATAAATTATAGGATAAGAAAAGGCTTCAATAGTTGATAACCAAACTGGAATTTTCAAATAACATTGTTTCTTAATTTTCTCCCAATTCAACCATAACGATTCCCGTATATAATGCCTTCTAAAATAACCCTGTGATTTAGTTCCCTTATACCATAGAAAAGCATGCCAACCCAATAGTAAATCATGTCCTTCTAATGCCAACAATCTAGTCTTTCTTAACGTTATCCATTCTTTAGCCCACATTAAATTTGCAGCTTGATAATACAACTCCCAATTAGGAAGGCCAAATCCTCCTCTAATTCTAGCATCCTGTAAAAGTTTTAATTTTATTCTCGCTTTCTTACCTTGCCATATATACTTCAACACAATTTTATTTAATTCTTCAAAATAGTCTTTACCTAACCTAATTGGTATTGTTTGAAACAAATATAACATTCTAGGTAAAATATTCATCTTAATTGTTGAAATTCTACCTATCAGTGACAATTGTAACTTTTCCCATTTTTTCAGATCAGATGCTATCTGCTGCTTAAGTTTAATATAGTTATTCTCTTTCAGTGTAGTACATCTTGACGTCAAATATATCCCCAAATATTTAACTTTATTCGTAACTTGAATTTTCAATAGGTCTGTCAACTCTTCTCTTTGTCTTAATAACATGTTCTTTGTCAAAATCTTTGTTTTGTCTTTATTTATTTTCAAGCCAGCCATCTCACCATACATCTCTATCTTTTCGAATAATTTTAAAGCTGTCTCAAGAGGATCTTCCAAAATAAAGACCAAGTTGTCTGCAAAGGCTTGCAATTTGAATTCCTCCTTTTTAACTTTCATTCCTTTTATATTTGTATCCTCTCTAATATTTCTATTTAACACTTCCAAAGTCAATACAAATAACAAAGGAGATAATGGACATCCTTGTCTTGTACCTTTTTTAATATTAATAGAGTCTGTAAGTTCTCCATCTATCATTACTTTTGCCGTTTGCTTATAATATATGGCTTCTATTGCTTGAATAAATTTTCTAACAAAGCCCATCTGTTCCAATAATAATAGCATAAATCTCCAATTCACGTTATCAAATGCCTTTTGGGCATCTAAGAATATCAAAGCCATTTGTTTTTCAGGATGCGCCTCGTAATATTCCAATGTATCCAGGATTATCCTCATATTGTCTTTAATTTGTCTCTTTGGTAAAAATCCATTCTGATCAGGGTGAATAAAATTATTTAAATATTTTTTAAGCCTCTCTGCCAAGATTGAAGCAAAGATTTTGTAATCTGCATTCAATAAGGAAATAGGTCTATAGTTCTTAATTTGTAATGGGTCAACCCCTTCTTTTGGGATAAGTGTAATATAAGCTTCTGACCATGTTTTAGGTATTTTCTTATTTACCATAACTTCATTCATGACTTCTAATAGTGGAATGCTCAGCGATTCTTGTAGTGTTCTATAAAATTCTGCCGGGAGACCATCTGGTCCTGGTGCTTTTCCATTGTTCTGTCTGTTGAGTGCTTCAGGTAATTCCATCATTGTTATAGCACTTTCTAACATTTCCCCCGTTTCATCAGGTATCTTAGGTAGGTTAGCATTTTGTAAATACTGTTTGATTTTTTCCTCATCAAGATCCTCCTGTTTATATAATTGTCCATAAAAATCTCGAATGATTGCTTTTTTCTCTTTATTACCATAGGTCAAGCATCCGAATTTTGATCAGCTGACCATGGGGCAATGGTCGTAAGTGTGGAAAACGGTCACAAGTTACTTTTTTTTTCCAGTGCTTTTGGAACCGTGGTCACAAAACAAACGGTTGTTAAGGAGCGTCTGTAACCACACCAACTGCCTTGCCTGCCTGATTTTAGCCAAGCTGAGTGTGTTGTGTGAACCCAGCCGCTCTGTAATGAAATTTATTTGCTCACCGTAAGCTACAGGACTCAGCTTCAGGACTGTGTGGAGAGGGCATTTCAGGTAGGGCATTTCTTCTGAAAGGGGAAAAAAAAAAAAGAAATAAAGGATTAGAAATGCATTCATGCTACACCTGGTCACAAATGGTACCCCCAAATCCTGCTTTTTCACACTCCCTTTTAATCCAGCCCTTTTCAAACTTCAACTCCCACAATTCAGAATGGTGCCCGGGGAATTCTGGGAGTTGAAATTGTCCCGTTTGGGGAGTGGAGGGGAGAAACCCACTTCAAATCCCAAAGGTTTTTCAGGAGCTGAAGAAGCTTCTTGGATGAGAAGCAAAACGTCTTCAAAAGAAGGAAAAAGCAAGAAAGTCCAGTTTGCCTCCTGAAAAAAAGCACCTTTGGGGACAATCCTGACCTGGGATGACTGAGGATCTCTACAGACTTTTAGCTATACAATTTGGGATGGACACCCTGTGAATGATGTGGGAGGAGGAATGGATTTCCAGAGGAACAATGGCAGACTACAGGAACCCTTTACACCAGTGATCCCCAACCTTTTTTACGCCGCAGCCCGGTATCCCCAACCTTTTTTATGGCGCGGCCCGGTACCGACATCAGCTGGGCGCCGCCATCTTGTTTTGATGAAAAAGTGCTTCCGGTGAGCTTTCTACCCGGAAAAGCTCACCGGAAGCGCTGGGCTCCGCCATCTTGTTTTGATGAAAAAGTGCTTCCGGTGAGCTTTCTACCCGGAAAAGCTCACCGGAAGCACTTTTTCATCAAAACAAGATGGCGGCGCCCAGCAAGCCAGCGGCCCGGTAGGACTTGTTCCGCGGACCGGTGGTTGGGGACCCCTGCTTTACACCACTCAGGTGACCCTGAGGATACAGATAAACCTCCAAGTGGCCTTAACAGCCTTCTAAAAAGGATGCAAGTGACCAGTTCTGTCTGCAAGGAATATAAACCCTTCCATTTCTCACCATCCTGTCAATGCTGAAGAAGCTTCTTGGATGAGAAGCGAAACGTCTTCAAAAGAAGAAAAAACAAGAAAGTCCAGGTGCCTCTTGAAAAAAAAAAAAGCATCTTTTGGAAAATCCCAAAGGTGTTTTTTTTTCTTCTCCAAAAGACAACTAGACTTTCTTGGGTTCCCCTCCGCCCCTTTGAAAACATTTCGCTTCTCATGCATCGAAGTTTCTTCAGTTCCAGACCCTGCTTGAGATTTTCTCCCCTGTTTGGGAGGTGGGTGGGTGGCTGGAGTCAGTTCCCACCCCCTTGCAAGGATCACAGCACCCATCCTAAATTTATTTCTTCCACTCCTGCCCCAGGAAAGTTGCAGAGAGTGTAGAGGCCAGAGGTGGGTGTTCAGCAGGTTCTGACCAGTTCTGGAGAACCGGTGACGGAAATTTTGAGTAGTTCCGAGAACTGGCCAATCCCACCTCTGACTGGCCCCGCCCCCATCTATTCTCCGCCTCCCATCGAGTCCTAGCTGATTGGCTGGGTCTTCTTTGGTTGCCCTGCACAGGAGAACGGAGCTGGAAAGCGGGTTAGTGGAGTGGGGAGGGAATGGGGATTTTGCAGTATCCTTCCCCCAGGAGTGGGGAGGGAATGGAGATTTTGCAGTATCCTTCCCCTGCCACGCCCACCAAGCATGCCACACCCACCAAACCAAGCCACACCCACCAAACCAAGCCACACCCACCAAAACAAGCCACACCCACCAAGCCACGCCCACAGAACCCGTAGCAAAACAAATGTAATAACCCACCTGCGCTTTTGTCGAGGAAGTAAGCCAACAGGCAACGCATGACGGCCTGATGACAAATCACAAGGACATTTTCTTGTCTTTCCAGCTCCATGATCACCGGTTCCAGCCTCTGCACCAGATCTTGATAGGACTGAAGGGGGGGAGGGGCGGGGAAACAGACCAAGAGAAGGTGATGAGTTACAGGTTATAGTCTTTTGGCAGAAACAGAGGAGCCGCAGAGGAGCAAGGATCTCCAATCTTGGCTACTTTGAAGACTTGTGGACTTCAACTCCCAGAATTCCACCGCCAGCATCAACTCCCAGAATTCTAGAGAAATGCCCAGGTTAATGAGAGGAATTGGCTGGCTGAGGAATTCTGGGAATTGAGTCTTAACGTGGTCAAGGAAGGCTGGCGATCCCTGATTAGAGGAAGCAAAAAACGATGCAGCGCCGGATATGGGCAATCTTGGATCCTGTAAGAGGAATCTCCTGGCCTCCTTTGGTACAGGGAGCCCTTGACTGGTTTTTCACACTTAGGACTGTTGCAGTATTCCCCACAGTCACGTGATCGAAATTCGGATGCTTGGCAACTGACTCGTATGTCAACTAAAAAAATACTCCTTTGGTCTTTTAGTTGCCAGCAGAAAGGGGGTGTGGGAAAGCAGTGCATTCCTTAAATGCTTCAGATAATTGCTAGGCAGCCAAAGCTGTTGGCGTGCAAGATTATTGGAGAGCATGATTGATGACTCTTGGCTTATGGATGTGTCCCATTGGAGAATCCAGGGGGTGGGGGGAAGATCAGGGTCAAGGGGGAAATGAATGATGTATTTTAGAGTCGGCTGCACCCAGCTAACACTGACATGGCCACTCCTAATAAATCATTTTTTTTAACTCTGACAGATGTGGCTAGAGACTTATGATTTGAATGGGGGTGGATTTGTCGGAGCCCTGACAGTGTATTTACGACGGTTGCAGGGTGCCGAGATCACATACTCCCCTTTGGAGACCTTCTGACAAGCAAAGTCAATGGGGAAAGCCAGATTCACTTAACAACCACGTTACTCAACACCTGCAGTGATTCACTGAACAACAGTGGCAAGAGAGGTGGGGAAAAAAGGGGCAAAACTCATTGAACAAATGTCTCATTTGGCCACATAAATTTTGGGACCAATTGTGGTTGTGTAAGTCGAGGTCTACCTGTATGAGGATCAGTTTTCTAAGTCACTTTTTTTTTTAGCGCAGGTGTAACTTCGAACAGCCGCTAAACGAACGGTTGTAAGTCGAGGATTACCTGTACACAGCTTTGCACAATTGTTTTAATCATTCCAACATTGGCCCAAGAGCCACATGGGGTGGGAGGAAACATCAAGGCTCCCAATTTCATGTTCCAAGAGATCAGCACTAGCCTACTGCTTGGGCATCCATCCCACCCGATGGTTAAAAATATATATATAGTTGGTGTGCCCAAACACAAACCTCTCCGGATGGATAGCGGTAATAGTATTTGTCTTGGTCGCGTAGAGCAAATTCTTCCGGATATGTTTCCTTGATTTCATCGTAAGTCATATCTTCACACACACCCTACAAGAATAAAGAGATGATAATGATGATGAAGGAGGAGGAGGAAGGAGAAGGAGAAAGAGGAGGAGGAGGAGGAAGAGGAAGAAGAAGAAATAATAATAATAATAATAATAATAATAATAATAATAATAATAATAATAATAATAATAATAATAATAATAATAATAATAATAATCCACATAGCTCTTTCTCCTAATTCTGCCAATCTTTATACCAGGATGTGCTCAGCAGCCTTAACTCAAAGAATTTCAACATCTGCAGTATTTTCTATATATATTAGGGGCTTCAAACTTGGCAACTTCCGCCTGGCTGGGGAATTCTGGGAACCGAAGTCCAGAAATCTTAAAATTTGCCAAGATTGGTCACCTCTGTCCTAGAATGTCTCTGCCGGTTGGTACAAAACCAGCCTGTTTCCCTACCAGGACAACTTCCAGCTCTGTGGCCTTCAACTCCTAGAATCTATATATATATAAAAAGAAATACCACTGATGCATCATCACAAAATCTCCAGAACCGTAAAGCCTACAAACTTGAAATTTGGCACGTATGTTCCTCTTGATTTGTAAGTGCTCACTAAAGAAAGGATTTTTCTAAATGACCATCAGAGCATTATTATTTCGCATATTATTATTATTAACACGCTCTGATGCTAAGGAGTTCTACTCCCCCTCCCCACCTGAAAAGAAATCTGTTCCAAATGCAAAATCCCAAGCATAGGAGTTTCAGTTTCAGAGCAGCAACCTGCTTTAGTACAAAACGGTTGAGCTAAGCCATGCCCGGGCGCCTTGCTGTCTCCTTCTTGCTCACACAGCAAAGTTTCAGTTTCCATACAGCCCTCAACTCTCTCACACACTGACAGGACGCTAGCCAGATGAATACTGGTAGGCGGAAGCACAATTTTCCCCCCTTATTTTTCTCCTCCAAAACTAAGCCTGATTACAGTTTCGTAGCGAAGCACGGGTATCGAGCTAGTTCTACATAAACAGCCTGGTTATTCAGATTAATTGACTGGCTGACTGAGGAATTGTGGGAGTTGGAAGTCCACAAGTCTTAAAAGTTGCCAGGTTTGGCCATCCCTGCTGCTTATGTCGAAACAAGTTCCAAATTCTCCTGCATTCTCTTTTTTCCTTCCAACTTTAGATAAGAACAGAATTCTTATTCTCTCTCTCTCCAAACAGGCTGGCTTTGTGCCCTTGTGTTTCTGCACCTGTCCAGTTTGTTCTTATCTCGTGTTTACAGACTGAGTGGAAATTTGTGTTGACAGACTGAGTTTTCACACTCAGAACGGACAGGAAAATGGAAGGGGCAGATTTATTTCCCGGTAACGGAAGAGCGGCGAGAGAGAGAGAAAGAGAGAGAGAGAGAGAGATGGGAGGAGGAGGAAAATGACAGCTTTCCCCACCAAAACCCCTTTGGTTTCTTCTGCAATCCAAAAAACAAAAAGGTTCTTACAGCATCAATTTCATTCAAAGCCTTCCACTGCTCGTAGGGCAGATCAAGAGCTTCTGCCGTCTGGATTGTCCTCTTGAGATGGCTGGTCCAGACTTTGAGATCATTCAGATTTTGCTCCTTGACAAAATTATTCAGCTCGCTGGCAAACTAGAAAAGGAAGGACATGCAGAAAGTGATGACTCAGCTCCTGTGAGTTTTGGCGAACTGTTTGTCCGGGCCAAAGTATTTGGTCTAGCCAGCCCAAGGCTGTGAGCCAGACAGGAAAATTGGAGAAAAAAGTATATATATATCCTGAAAATGACTTCCATAAACTACAAGGACGTGTCCTGAAAGTCAACCGAAGCTGAGCTATTCAAGGGAGATCTTCCCTCAATGAGTTGGGGAAGATGGAACTCATTCGAAGTCTTTTATGACAACCACAAAGTTCCCCAGAAAGTTCTTAAAGAGTTCCTCTATCTCCCGAAATGATTTTTATGGAGGAACAAACTAAAGAGAAGTTCGTCTTTTCCCTAGAGTGAGATTTCTCAAGAAATACTTTTTGGGAAACTGGTGAACCTTGGCGACCGCCACAAGCATTGTAAGGTGTTTTCAGTGGACTTTCGCGGGGGTTTTTGTGAAGGTTTCCCCTTCTTTGTGAAAGGCAATTCTGGCTTATGCTCCTACCACCCCACTCGCCAGGCCCATTTACTCAGAAGTAAACGACACGCATACCTTCTTGCCTCTGCTGGAGAGCCCCGAGTCGCCCCCGATCTTCCCTTTGAGGTTGAATTCACTCTCGCCGTGCCGACACAAGTAGATAGTCCGGGGCTGCACGTGGATGTTCATCAGGTAGTAGACAATCCGGCTTTGGATGTGATCCTGAACTTTGTTCACCAAGTACCTTCGACCGACATCGATCACTTTGATGAGCGACAACTCTCTAAGGGGACGAAAACAACACAGGATTGCCATCGTAGCATTGTGGAGTAGCCCACAAAGCCAAACAGCGAGATCAAACTCTCTCAGAGTGCTGATGATGTTACCTAGTGGGGTAATGAAATGCCTGAAAGCAAACCACCCAGCTCAGAGAATAGCAGGGACCCCTACGGTCCTGGTCATGCCCCCCCCGTTGGAACCTGAATCCGTGGAGGTAAAAGGAGCCAGAACTGGAGCGGATTCGAGGGGGAGGCTTCGTTGGAAAATGGGGAGGAGCTAAGCCGAGGCAGGCCAGGCCCTTTCAGGATTGGGACGGCTTGTAGGCAGGGAGGAAGGGAGTGGCAGGATGACGCAGTGAACGTGAGAGACAGAGCTCAGGCGAGGAGCAGGGACCGCTCCTTCCTGACCCTCGAGTATAGAGAGTGGAGAGAAGGCAGGAACAGCGCAGGCTGACCCGACTACTCGGGAGGAGAGTGCCCCGCCTCTCTCCACAAGGCACACCTGGGGACCGAGACGTAAGGAGACGCCACGGGGAGGGGCATTTGTCGGGAACAAACGCTGAATTCATGGAGAATTGTGTGCCGTTGCAGACGTTGGACGTTTCCTGGACTTTTTGTTGCATTTCTGGCTTCCTAGATTAATTGCCTTGTTCCTTCGCTTCCTGGGCTCATTGACTTCTTTCCCTTGCCCTGCTGGATTTCTTGTTTTGCAGCTGTTGCGCTCACAGCTTTGTGCTGGACTACTTGCAGCCAGAGGCGTGTGTGTGTGTGTGCGTGTGCGAGAGAGAGAGACAGAGAGAGAGAGAGAGACAGAGACAGAGAGAGATCACTTTGCTCTGGGACTTGCCAGAAACGTGGGAATATTTGGGGAAAATTTGAAGCAATAAAGGGACAGTTTGAACGATCAGCTGACTGTGTTGCCTCTGTACCGTGCCCCCAGGCCATCGCAGTCTTCCACTTTCTCCACCACCACAAACCCTACTCCATGAGACTTCAAGGTGTCAACTCATAAAACATTCCTATGCCTGTTTTAGTAGTTGCCATAAAAGGGGGGCAGGGGGGGAGAAGGAAGGAAATCTGGAAGAGCAGTGCAGTACATTCCAACTCTTATCTTTAAAAGATTGCAACTAAACTACCAGAGCTTTTGCCCGGGAATATATTTAATTGGAGAACATGAATGACACCCAGCCCATGAATGTGCTCAATTGGAGAATCTGATTTATGACACACCCAGGGGGAAGGGAGGAAACAGGGTCACAGGGGACTGTAAATTACGCATGCCAGAGTTGGCTTCATTCAGGGCAGTGCCAATATGTCGCCTCTAATAAATCCTTTGAAGTTGGTTGAAGTTCGGCATGAGAATCATGATTCAATTAGGGCGATTGCTGGAATCCTGACACAAGGACTGATGGCATGTCCCTTCATTCCACGCGGTTGTAACTTTCAGTTGTCCCTAAACAAATAGGTGTTAACTTAGGACAACCTGCATCTTCAGCAGAGAAGCAGCATTCACGCTAGCGACAAGCTACTTGGAGTGGCGTGGATGCAAATCTGAACCTTAGCTGAACCAGTAGTCGTTACCCTGGTGTTTCTTTACCTGTCGTATCCGTCCGGATCAAGAGGCTGGTAACTGGATTGATAGCAGCTGATTCTCTTCATGAAATCTTCCATGGCGTCTGTCGAGTTGCAGTCCTTATAATCTGGGCTGGACAGCTTGACCTCCTTAAAAAAAAAAAGGAAATGTTCAATGGTTTAAGAATAGCAACAAGCCCGTTACATCAATCCTGTTCTAGGGATGTTACGAAAGCAGTGTTTGTCAACCTGGGCAGTTCTTAAGGTGTGTGGACTTTAACTGCCAGGATTACAGATAACAGGTAAGAGATAATCAGAGCTGGAAGGGACCTTATAGGTCATCTAGTCCAACACCCCCCCCCAAGTGGGAGACCCTACACCATTTCTGACAAATGGCAGTCCAATCTCTTCTTGAAAGTCTCAAGTGATGGCGCTCCCACAACTTCCGAGGGCAACTTCTGTTCCATTGGTTGATTGTTCTCACTGTCAGAAAGTTTCTCCTTATTTCCAGATTAAATCTCTCCTTGTTCAGTTTCCATCCATTATTCCTTGTCTGGCCTTCAGCTGCTTTGGAGAATAGCTTGATCCCTTTCTCTTCTCTGTGGCAGCCCCTCAAATATTGGAAGACTGCTCTCCTGTCTCCCCTGGTCCTTCTCTTCCCTAGACTAGCCATGCCAAGTTCCTGTAACTGTTCATCGTATGTTTTAGCCTCCAGTCCCTTTATCATCCTGGTTGCTCTTCTCTGCACTTTTTCTAGAGTCTAGATTCTGGGAGTTGAAGTCCACCCCCTCATAAAACGGCCAATCTTCGAAACACTGCAGTTCAGTGGTGGGATTCAAATAATTTAACAACCGGTTCTCTGCCCTCATGATTTCTTCCAACAACCAGTTCACCAAACTGCTCAGAAAGTTAACAACCCGTTCTCCTGAACTGGTGCGAACTGGGTGAATCCCACCACTGCTGCAGTTTAGAATGAGGCCAGGTCGGTTGTATTGCTCTCTATCCAGCAGGAAATTGTTCTAATCTTTTCCATTAAAAAATTAAAAAATGGGTCAAGTCAAACAATCTTGTATCTTTGACCTTCTAAAACAGCCTTGGGATAGAGATTACAAGCCAACAAACAAAACGTTTGCAGACTTGCTTCAAGGTTGAGGGTCATGGCTGGCTGGGGAACTTGGGAGTTGAAGTCCACACATCTTAAAAAGGGTTGGCCAGGTTGACAAACGCTGTTGACAAAATAAGAGTCCACAGCGTTCAATCTGCCTCGTGGCTTCGCTACCGCAGGTAGTCCTCGACTTAGAACCACAGCTGAGCCCCAAATTTCTCTTGCTAAGTGCGGCAGTTCTGCCCCATTTTAACGCCAGTTGTTAAGCCGATCGTTTGAAGTTGCTAAGTTAGTCACACGGTTGTTAAGCAAGCAAATCTGGCTTCCCCGTCGACTTGGCTTGTCGGAAGGCTGCCAAACGGGGATCCCGTGACCCCGAGAACACTACAACCGTCGTAAATAGGAGTCAGTCGCTATAAGTATCCGAATTTTGATCACGTGGCCATATAGAGGCTGCCATGCGGTGGGGGGGCCTGCTGGGGGTTCGCAGAGGTTCGGGAGAGCCCCTAGCTAAGATTCTGTCAAAGTTCGGAGAATCCCCCCAAATCCCACTCCTGGCTGGCCCCACCCACCCTTCTCCTCCCGTCCCAGGAGTCCCCACGTGACCTGTTTTGGATGCAAGGTAAGTGCAGAGGCTCAGGGAGGGTGAAAAACGGAACTCCCGGAAGTTCGGGAAGGCCGGAAATGGGCCCGTTTCCAGCTTCCACAGCGTCTCCGGAGCCTGGGGGGGGGGCGTTTTTGCTGTCTTAGAGGCTCGAGGAAAGCCTCTGGAGCCTGGGGAGGGCAAAAACACCACCCCCACCGTGGTGCAGGCAGACTAGGTCACGCCCACCCAGCAACCGGGCAGAGCACCCCTTGTTAAAAGTTTTGAAGCCCAGCTCTGCTGCCATGGTGTGAAAAGCAGCAGTCATGTCAGATACTAGCATCGCTCTTCAAAGCCTTAGTAAGACCACACCTAGAGTCCTGCATCCAGTTTTGTTCACCACATTATAAAAAAGAGGTTGAGACTGTGCAGAGAAAGTGCAGAGAAAAGCAACCAGGATGATTAGATTAAAACACATGAAGAACGGTTGCAGGAACTGGGCCTGGCTAGTCCAGTGAAGAGAAGGACCAGGGGAGACAGGATAGCAGTCATTCAATATTTGAGGGGTTGTCACAGGGAGGAGGGGAGTGTGTCAAGCTATTTTCCAAAGCACCTAAAGGCCACACAAGGAATCATGGATGGAAACTGAACAAGGAGAGATTTAACCTGGAAATAAGGAGAAACTTTCTGACAGTGAGAACAATCAACCCATGGGGCAGAAGTTGCCTTTGGAAGTTGTGGGAGCTTCATCACTGGAGGCTTTCAAGAAAAGATTGGACTGCCATTTGTCACAAATGGTGTAGGGTCTCCTGCTTTGGCAGGGGGGTTGGGCTAGATGACCTACAAGGTCCCTTCCAACTCTGATTATCTGTTATCAGTTTTTTTGGGAGGTGGGGCATTGTAACTTTGAATGATCACCAAACAAACTGATGAGTTGTTGAGAATGGGAAGGAGAGATTCCATTACGCAGAAGATGGATGTTCTCTCACTCAACTGGGATCCCTTCAGAGGTGGGTATTCAACAGGTTCTGACCGATTCTGGAAAACCGGTAGTGGAAATTTTGAGTAGTTCAGAGAACCCGCAAATACCACCTCTGACTGGCCCCGCCCCATCTATTATCCCGAATCCCAGCTGATTGGCTGGGTCTCCTTTGGTTGCCCTGCACAGGAGAACGGAGCTGGAAAGCAGGTTAGTGGGGTGGGGAGGGAATGGGGATTTTGCAGTAACCTTCCTCTGCCATGCCCACCAAGCCATGCCACGCCCACCAAGCCGTGCCCACAGAACCGGTAGGAAAAAAATTTGAATCCCACCACCTTCCCAGAAAATATTATTTCTCCAGCCCAACCTGAAGGATTTTCTGGGGTCCAGGCTGGACTTGAGAGACAAGGAAACGCTCTTCAAACTTACCATGATGTTGCTTGCTACCACAGTTGGGTCATTGCAGACGGACTCAATGAAGAACACCTAACGTAAGGAGAAGACATTAGAATTAAGGCCTTGTGACAGTATGACTTTGGTATGCACAAAAATGGAAGGACACTTCAATTCCTAACATGGACAGAAGGGTTGCAGATGTTGATGGAATTGGCTGAAATGGCAAAATGGACTATTTTGATGAAAGAAAAGAATATTATAATTACTTTTGTTTCCACATGGAGACCGCTTCTGAACTTCATGCTTGAAGTGGACGAGAATTAAACTTTGATTTTGGGTTTTAACGATTAGATTGGTAGATATATTCTCATCGTGCCCAGAAAAGAATATCTGCCTCTACTTAGGATCGAACCCACAGCCTCCTGGACACTCAGCGAATGGTTGTAAATCGAGAACTACCTGTTTGTCCTGAGAAGCAGACAAACAGCCACGTCAATGTTCTCCAAAGGGTTCCTACCCAATGTGCTGGGTGGAAAGGCCCATAATTCTTACTCTGCTGGGAATTATGGCAGTTGTAAATTAGCACGCCAATAGGGCATTGGATCGGGGAAAGATTTGAGTCTAAGCAAGGTGCCAACTACGTCCACAGGAAAGGAACCTGTACAAACAGCAGTGGGCCAAATCTTAAAATCCCTCGCATTTTGGTTCAAGAATGTCAACTCACTTTGTATCCGTTTTCTTTGGCAAAATGCAAGACCATGGATCTTCGCTCACGGGTCGTGTTGGTAGCGTCAAAAACCTGGGGAGGGAAGAAAAATTTAAAAAGATGTCGGACGGCTCATTTTTGTCAGTTGGTTTTCAAGAAAAAGGAGACAAACTTTTCCAGAATCCCAACCATCTTCACATGAAGATGAGCAGAACCAAACCACAATGTTCTCCATAAGTGTACCGTTCAGTTCCTTGTCAGTTGCTTTCCATAACTGGAAACAATTCCTTCAGCATGGACACGGGGTGGATGGGTGAAATAATTAGGGTTTGTTTGTTTATTTAAAATGGGACACATCTTTAAGTTCCACTGGACAATGTTGATCTCCTCTCCTCTTCAAAAAAAAAATATTAAAAAAAAAATCCAGACTAATGTCCATAAATTTTGGGCCATCACAAATTTGAGAGGTCCTTGGTGCTCCCCAAGATGGGTTATTTTCTTGCAGACATTTCATTCATCCAAGCTAAGTAATGAGCACTGATGATGTTACTTAGTTGGGTTATGAAGAATCTGCACGAAAACAACCAAACTCAAGACAATATGAAGGACCCCTCATGTCAACCCTGAATCTATCTACATATATAAAAAAGCGAAATACCCCTCACTCATCATCACAAAATCTCCAGGACCGTAAATCCTACAAACTTGAAATTTGGCATGTACGTTCCTCTTGGTTTCTAGGTGCTCGCTAAGAAAGGATTTTTCAAAATGACCATCAGAGTATTTAGAGTATTTCCTATATTATTATTAACATGCTCTGATGCTAAGGAGTTCTACTCCCTCTCCCCACCTGAAAAGAAATCTGTTCCAAATGCAAAACACAAGCAGAGGAGAGGAGTTTCAGTTTCAGAGTAGCAGCCAGCTTTAGTACAGAACAGTTGAGCTAAGCCACGCCCAGACTCCTTGCTGTCTCCTTCTTGCTCGCACAGCAAATATTGTTTCAGTTTCCAAACAGCCCTCAACTCTTCTCACACACTGACAGGACACTAGCCAGATGAATACCGATGGATGCCGGTAGGCAGAGGCATAATTTTCTTTTCCTTCTCTTCCTCCCCCAAAACTAAGCCCGACAAAACATAGTTTTGTAGCAAAGCACGGGTATCGAGCTAGTTGGAAATATTCTCCTGTATTGGAATCATAAGCTCGGACTCGGAGATCTTTAGGGATTCCTGCACATTTAAAAACCACGGGGTAGACCTGGAGGAGGTTCATTAAAACGATTTAAATTAGACCAGGCTGGCTCTCCCAAACAGGGACAACCTTTCACAAGATGTCTTCTTCCAAGGCGCTTCAAGGAATGTCACTTACTGCAATCTGTCCACCTTCCTCCGATAAGTAGAGCTTGACGTCTCTCAAGGCGCTTAAGGCACACTGTCTGTAAGGAAAGCGCAAAAACCGCCTATGAAAGCCTGTTTAGATCACACAAGAGTTTGGTAGCAGCCCTCAGGCTATTTAGTAAGGCTGCCCAATTGGACCTGTAAAAATTCAGAGGACTGCAAGATGGCAGCATGGAGACGACCAGGCAGGAGTGGGATTCTATCAGTTTGGACCGGGTTCAGGCGAAGTGGATGTTAAAGTTACAGCTGGTTCGCCGAACGGATATTTCAACCAACCGGCTGACCCCATACCTCCTGCCCTGCCCCACTTCCAGGAGCCTCCATGCGACCCATTTTCGATGGAGGTCAGTGCAGGGTCTGGGCAGAGGCTCTGGGAGGGGGAAAAACGGGTCTTCTGGAAGTCTGGAAACTGGCCTTTTTCTGGTTTCCAGAGGGCCTCCAGAGCCTGGGAGAGGCCATTTTCGCCTTCCCAGAGGCCTGGGGGGAAGCCTCCGGATCCTTGGGAGGGCGAAAAATGGCCCTTCCAAAAAAAAAAAACCCGGAAGTCGCAAAATGGGCCTGTTTCCGGCTTCCGGCGGGCCTCCAGAGGCCGGGGAGGCTGTTTTTGCCCTCCAAGAGGTCCGGGGAAGGCTTTGGGAGGATGAAAATGTCCTCCCCACCTTTTGGTGGGACTCTGGAGGCCCACCAAAAGCCGGAAAGTTCCGGTAGGTCCCACCTGGTGGGACTTTTGAATCCCACCCCTGAGACCAGGTTCTTGAGATCTTTGGACGGTCCTCTAGGAGCAACCTCATTTTTTCCTCCCCAGCTCAGATGAGGTAATTTTGGATGCAGTCCATCCCACCTCACCAAAGGTATAGCTCATTCACCAGTTTCCCTCTAGGTAACGTATCACTTTCTGCCAGAAATGTGCTTAGTGTAGAAAAATGAGATACTCTACTTCTAGCTTCGGGAAGAACAAAATATAATATTTTAAAACATCAAAAATGAGACATTCACATATTTTTCCAGAACTGCTGTTCAAACAAGGCAGGGACAGATAGTCCTCGACTTACAACCACAATTGGGAGCCCAAAATTTATGTTGCTAAATGAGACCATTAAATGACTTGTCACTGCAGTTGTTAAGTTAGTAACGTGGTTGTTAAGTGAATCTGGTTTCCCCATTGATTTTGCTTGTCAGAAGGTCGCAAAAGGGGATCACACCTGACCCCCGGGACATGGCGACCGTCATAAATACGAACCAGTTGCCAAGCGTCCGAATTTTGATCAGGTGACCAAGAGGATGCTGCAATGGTCGTAAGTGTGAAAAACGGTCATTAAGACATGCTTTTCAGTGCCGTTGTAACTTCAAATGGCCGCTAAAATGAATGGTTGTAAGTTCAGGACTATCTGTAGAGGTTTGTGCATGTAGAGCTTCAGCCATAGCCCTGAGGACTAGCACCTTCATGGGTGGAAAGCTCACCCGCACATAGCAATTGCAGTCTGGATTTTGGAAATTGGTGTTAGCAATTTAAAAAAAATAACCTCTTTATCACGCCGCTGAGGTTGCTGGCAGATTGTCTGACTTCTGCAAAGAAATTTGTTTTTTTCTTTGCCCAGCTAAGGAAAATATTTTAGGCCGTGGGGCTGCATGGAATCTGCTGCCGGCTTGTATTTCACAAAACCTGCGTTTGGATGCCACCCCAGCTCCTTAGGAGAAGGAGGCAATTGTGTCCTCTTGTTCAAACACTCAACAAAGGACAATGTCCCCATTTACAAATTTAAGAATAAAGACTGCGGATTTTCAGAACGAGAACCGCTCTCTCAAGTGCTGAAAAAGCAGGAAGATTAAAGACTTTCCCATAATGGCCTTTTTTCACATTGTTGGAAAAGGTCTACCCACGCTACAGGTAATCCTCGCTTAGTGTCAAAGTTCAAAAAGTTACGACCATCCTGGAAAAAGGGACTTATCATTTGGGTCCAAAGTTCCAGTGGTTGGGGTCACCTGCCCTTCCCATCCACCCCGCAGTCACATGATCGCATTTTGGGCTTTTGGCAATAAAGCCACATTAGCAGCATCCCGTGGTGATACGATCGTGTTTTAACAATGGTTTTGCCCCCAAATGGGGACTTCTGGCTTTCATCAAAACCCTGCCATAGCAAGCAATGGGTTGGCTTCAGGACCACTGTGTGTGCTTTATGATTGACATGTTCACTTTATGGCCGCAGCAAAAAAGAACGTAAAATTATGATGGGCAGGCTCCATAACTGAAGGACTACCTATATTTTCTTTTCCCAACTTCATAACCTTGATGTTTCCTGGTGGTCTCACATTTAAATCTAGTCTGTTAAGCTTTTCAGTGGTTTTCTGCAGGCAGGCAGGCAGGCAGGAAGGAAAGAAAAAGGAAGGAAGGAAGGGAGGGAGGGAGGAAAGAGAGAGAGAGAGAGAGAGAGAAAAAGGGGAAAGAAGGAAGGAAAAAAGAAATATAAAAGGGAAAGGAAAGAAGGAAGGAAGGAAAGAGAGAAAAGAAAGGGAAGGAAGGAAGGAAAAAAGGAAAGAAAAAAGAAAGAGAAAAGGGAAGGGAAGGAAAGAAAAAAGGGAAAAGAAAGGAAGGAATGAAGGAAAAAAGAAGGAAAGAGAGAGAGAGAAAAGAAAGGGAAGGAAGAAAGGAAAAAAGAAAGGAGAAAGAAAGAGAGAAAGAGAGAAAAAAGAAAGGGAAGGAAAGGAAAGAAGAAAGGGAAAAGGAAGGAAGGAATGAAGGAAAAAAGGAAAGAAAGAGAGAGAAAAGAAAGGGAAGGAAGAAAGGAAAAAAGAAAAAAGGAAGGAGAGAAAGAAAGGAAGGAGAGAAAGAAAGGAAGAAAGGAAGAAAGAAAGAAAGAAAGAAAGAAAGAAAGAAAGAAAGAAAGAAAGAAAGAAAGAAAGAAAGAAAGAAAGAAAGAAAGAAAGAAAGAAAG